CAGAATTTGCGTGCGGCTGTTGTTGTTTCTGCTGCTGTTGTTGTGACACATCAGCTTTGGATTGTTGATGCTGATGTTGTTGGAGTTGATTATGTCTAGTAGATGTTGCTGAATGATTTTGAATTGACAAAGCATTATTTTTTGGCGAATATGAATGTTTTGCTGGAATCGGTTGTGTTGGCGGTGGTACTTGAATCCGTAAATTGTGTTGCAATGTTTGTTGCAAATGATGTTGTTGATGTACAACTGAATGTGGCTGCAATGTTTGATTTTGCGTTGCCAATGACCCTGTCACTTGATGCTTATTTTGATTATGTTGAGATCGTATTTGACTAATTGCAGTGCCATAGGCCGGTGGGGGTTTCTGATGATGTTGCACATGTGTTTGTGGTTGATAAGTGAAAAGCTAAAAATAATTTTATTTTTATGCAGAATAATAAGTTAATTTATGTGTTAAATTGATTAAATAAATAATTTTTTATCTATTTAAAAGTTGAACCACTCATTCCGAAAGATTCACATTTTTTTTCGGTTACACTTTTTACTGCCATTTAATTGTAGGATTTTATATTCCTTATGAAAATCTAACATTAAAAAATGAAAAATAATATTTTTAGTTTAATTAGCGTTATATAACATCATATACGAAACATATTATTGTTTATTCTGATAAGTTTATATTGATAGACTCGTTCGCTTTTCGAAATGACTGGTTCAATTATTATACGATAAACTAGATCATAGCAGACACAAATAAGAAAAACTGTAAGGAGTATTTTTTCGGCATACTAAAATAAAATAATTCAACTTATTCATACCTGCAGCGGAGGCGGTGGTGGTAAATTAGGTGTATATATAACCTTTAAACTTTGTTGATGATGAGAATTTGACGGTGGCGGTTGATGTTGACCTGCTGCAAACATATGAGTCTGGCGATGTCCGCTAGATGATGTATTGCCTAAATGCGACGATGCATGATGCGGTGGGGGCGGTGGAGGAGGCAATTGCTGGGGTTGTATCGAATGAAATGTTCCATTGGAACCCGCTGCTATAATTCCACGGCTTACTTCTTGGTGTTGACCGTGATGTTGACTTTGCGATGATGCTGGAGGTGGTGGTGGTGGCATGTGTGGGGGTGTTGGTAATTGATTATTTTGATTATTAACACCATTACGCTGTTGCGGATCATAGCGTGTATTGCCTCCAAACATATTAAAACTAGTATGTATATTGTTTGAATTTGCCAATTCTACAGCATTAGGATGATATGAATGACTTGGATTTACTGTAGAGTTTGGTGTTGAATTCGTTTGATTGAAATTCTTTTTCGAAAAGCATTGACTGACATTCTCGTTCGCAGGCGCAATTTCCTTCGTTAATGCGACCGAATTCGTTTCTGTTTTAACCACTGTCTTCACTGTCAAAGTGGAAGATGATGTTTGTATTTTATCCCGCTCATTTTCATGATGTCGTTCAATTTTAGTAGCAGAAAAATTTAATGCATTATTTGAATTTTGGCTACTACTACAAACACTTTGGTTGGACAAAGAACAATTGCTAGCTGAATTACTTATACTAGCAGCGCTGCAACTGTTACTTGCACTGCCAATATTAGGTTCCTTATCTTTGTTGTTCGGCAAAGGTTTCTCATCCAATTCAGCAGTTGGTTTTTTCTTGTCATTTTCTCCAGCTAACACAGATGCCAACGTATTATTGCTCCCAACACCTGTACCGGATATGGTCATTTGTACTAAGGCTCGAATCACTTGTTCTTTCGGATGTGTCTCCAAGTGATCCGAAAGATTCATACCTGCATGCAGGTATAGAGTACATACTGGACACTGAACATTTTCCGTCATTTTGAAATTTTATATTTGTTCCGATTGTGCACGTGCTTGCGTGTGTGTATGTTGATTATTGGTTTAAAGTTGTTTGTATAAGTAAATGTTTATTTCGATCTTTTATTGATTAAGACTATAATATCCGTCTTAATCATAAAATCATTTTAGCCATAAATTTAATATTTTCCATATTGGTTAGTGGTGTTATGGATCTGAAAATATAAAAATAAAATCGAATTATATTTATGTAAACACACATTAAAGTAAATCCTTAAAATCATCAAAAATAAAAGTTATTATACACTTATAACAATGTAATATGTGTATGTATAAGACAATATCGCTTTCAAATAATCGAATTCGCATTGGTTCGATGATTGACAATACTCATATAAAAACATGACTTCAAACATCATGTATGCTTTACCTAAATCGAACCAGTTCATCATTTAAACCCACCCAGTGGAGAAATATTCAAAGCTGTCAAAATGCTGTCCTACGGACTGTAACAGGCTGCATGCAAATAACCTCGGACCACTACATACACGAGGAAACGAAGGTCCTCCCAGTTAATGAACAAAATGTCATGCTGACTTAAATGTTCCTCATGGGATGTCACCGGAGGAGTCATCCAAACTTAAACATCACACTGTTGGATGTCCTTCCTGACATGCCTGGGAAGATGATATGTGCAGTATCCCTATGATCGTAATTCGTACACAACATTCATAGAGATGCCATCAATACAGTGGTTTCTGATTACCGCATGAATGTCGTTCTTGGAGCACGCCCTTCGTTTAAAAACTATTACAATAAAAATTAGAACATTTCTTATTCTAAAAAAATTAATCACTGTATTACAATCTGTAGAGTTCTTCCATTGAAGATACATATATACGTACAATCAAATTAATGCAGGTGTATGACAATACACTAATATGTAAATAAATTTTGTAATAATCAATCCATAATGGCTTTAGCCCATATACAATATGGGCTAAAACCTACTTATTTTTAAAAATCGTAATATACACATGTTTAAAAGATTCGAAAAAGATTCATTGACTCATCATTTCCACCAATGTCTAACCATCGGTTAGCTCTAATTCATTCGTAAAGAAGTTATCCTATGTAAGAGAGTCGTCACAGTAATACTATAGAGATTAGAAATTTAAAAACCTAACCTAAGCGAAAGTGTTTATTGCCATGCATTGTCTCCTCTGGTCTAGCTGTCTCCTTGTAATCTATGCAGTCACTGACTTCTTCATAGGACAAATACATGTTAAAAAAGGAGTAACCCTGTCAGGTTAAATAGGTAGACCGTGAATGATCCGACCACCTCACCCTGAACTGCTGGGTATTCATAATCAAACAAAAATAATCGATTTATTGGTCTCGATTAATTTCCTTCAAAATAGAAATTATAATAGTTCATCGAAAAAATCGATTATTGCTTTTCATGCAATTCCCTAGTATGGACCATAAAATTCATATTAACACGGTCTGTTTTGCTCCTACTTCAAACATGTAGTAAGGAAAAATGTTTTAACATAAATTTCTATGAGCTGTCTACACGTACATTTTTATTTCCAAATTCATTACTTGAGTAGACCTATGAATGTTGAGTGAGTGCGGTGCGTTGCGTTTTCTTGCCCTTCTTTTGTGGTATATGTATCTCTACACTATTTATCAACGTTTTCACTTTACTCACTTAATTTGCCCTTATAATTTTATGGTTAGTGATTTGCTTATTATTGTTGTTGTAGTCTCTGATCCCTTTACAATCATTATTGTATTTTTTTATTATTTGTTGTTTCTTCTTTTTATTTTTTATAACAAAAACTCGTACAAAAGAAGAAACATCATACACACAAATGTTCATGCATGTATTCACTAATTCTCACGTATTTTAATTACACTGGCTAATGGATGATATTGTTGTATGGTTGGAAAACAGATAGTATGTTAAAATGAGTTTCGAAATCGATCAAAAATTAATTTCTGTAATGACATTTTTTGTTGTAACAAAGGAAATTATGTTTTTGACTTTAGTTAGCCAATAGTTGGAATTTATCAAATGGAGTTGGAACATGTCTCGGCTTGACAGTGTACTCGTTCAATGACACACAGAAATCATTTTTTGTGTTTTCACATTATATTCTTTTTTATTTTATTTTTTGTTTTAATCGTCTTCGTTTCATGTATGGTTTATTGTAGTACACCTACCTACCTACTGCCTGCCTTCCATACATCCAACTTCTACATACAAAATACAATAATAACAACAACAACAAAATATATCCACCTTTGTATGTGATACAAGACGAGGCCACACAAAAGATTTTTTTCACTTGCAATTTAAGCACTTTATTTTCAATAAATCCATAATAATTTCATATGTTACGTAATCTATATGTATTAAACTTGATATTTTCACAAAAAATTTGAAATTTTTATTGCATTTTACAAGTAAATAATTTATTTGAAAAATTTTCACTTAACAAATTGGAAAAAAATTACGACAATGATTCCGTCGTCTGGTTATTTTTTGTAATGTAATAGAGTAAACATGTTTCAAATTGTAATAGATTGTACTAGTTGTGTGTGTGATGACAAAATTAGGCAACACTTAAGTATGTGTCTACACATGCAATAAACTTGCATATATCTACATAAACAAATCTTCTGGCATGACACCATTAACCATGATACATTAATATTTTAAATTACCGCCGATGTCATAAATGTGTATATTTATTATAGTAGTAATTATATTCTTCGAGTTATTAATTCAAAAAAATATTACATTGTATATACAATTGTAAAACCCTATCAAACAGAGTTGCTAAATTAAGTATTAAATGCTATTTACAACCAATGTAGATTCGTTCAGGGTGTCCTTCCTAACATCTGATAATTGTTTTGTTTATACAAATTTGTATCCAAGCTGTCAAACAGTATATAAAAAAAGATTTTTTTCACAACCAACGCTGTCAATTCCCATATGATAAAATATCAAATTTGTCTCTAAGATCATCTTATGTAAATTCGTCACTGTCCAACATTGTAGACTTTTTTAATTTGGCTGCAACACATTGAAATATTATTTTAAAATTTTTATTATATATTAATTAAAATTAAATATAAAAATAAATCAAAATGGTTGACAAAAGTTCAGACCAAAGTATTATGGATAAATCCATGAGATCGGTTTTTGGTAAGCTTTTCGAATTTAGAGAGAAAACACTGTCGGCTTTGTAATGAATGTCAATTTTTGTTTTGCAGTGGGAAATATTCCCTATGAAGCTACCGAGGAAAAACTTAAGGAAATTTTCAGTGAAGTTGGCCCTGTCGTCTCTTTAAAGTTAGTAATTTGTACATAAAATATCTTTGGTTTTCTTTATGCTAACACATTTTTTTCAAGGCTTGTCTTTGATCGCGAGAGTGGTAAACCCAAAGGTTTTGGATTTTGCGAATACAAGGATCAGGAGACGGCCTTAAGTGCTATGCGTAATTTAAATGGTTATGAAATAGGCGGACGTACTCTGCGTGTAGATAATGCTTGTACAGAGAAATCGCGCATGGAAATGCAACAACTTTTGCAAGGACCACAGGTTGAAAATCCATACGGTGAACATTGTGATCCCGACCAGGCTCCGGAGATAATAACAAAGACTGTGGCATCTCTGCCACCTGAGCAAATGTTCGAGTTAATGAAACAAATGAAGTTGTGTATACAAAATAATCCTTCTGAAGCTCGTCAAATGTTGATGTTGAATCCACAATTGGCCTATGCCTTGTTACAGTCTATGGTAGTTATGCGTATTGTTGATCCACCTACGGCCTTGGTAAGTAAAACATCTTTAATTAAGTATAAACGAACTTTTAATGAAAATTTATTTTTAGGGCATGCTATTTAAAGCCAATCAAATGCCTCCCGTATTGGGTGCTAAACCATTATCTGGTAACGCTGGTGCACAAGGCTTGAATTCTATGCCACAATCACAAATAATTCCGCCAGCACCCAGCATGAGTGGTCCACCTATGCCTGTACCAGTCCCCAATTTTAATTCCATGCCCGGTAATGATATTGATTTGCGCGCCATGACCGGGGTAAATATGCCCTCACAACAACCAATGGATCCCCGCCAAATGGACCCAAGAATGTCACGCAATATGGACCAAGATATGAGATCAATTCCCAATCCCGTACCACCACCACTAATGGATCCACGCAATCAGCGTCAATTGCCACAGCCACAGATGAATACACCACCTTCATTTCCCAGTGATCCACGTCAAAGACCAATGGATCCTCGTTTGAGAGGTGCTGGTCCAGGACCCAGTGGACCTGTACCACCCCCAACGGCCCAGCAGACAGCACAACAGCAGTTACAAAATCGTTTGGCCACCAATTGTGGTCTTCCCAATGATGCCTCTGACCAAGAAAAGGCAGCATTAATTATGCAAGTTTTGCAGTTAACCGATGAGCAAATCTCACAGCTTCCACCAGAGCAAAGAACTAGTATTTTGGTATTAAAAGAACAAATTGCCAAGAGTACTCAACGTTAAATGTAAAATCTTAATAATCTTGAAATAATAAAAATCTTCTATGTAACGATTCCAAAATTATTTGCATACAGCAAAAATACATTATTTTTTAATCCTATAAATTAAAATATCATATTTAATTTTTACAAATTAAATTTTCTTTTATTTCTTATTATTAGAAAAATCCTTATAGGGTCACTAAAGCTTGGTACAATTTTTGAACAGTTGTATTAACAATTTGCCGCAAATTTTCATCGTCTTTTGTTGTCACAGCCTAGAAAGGATAGCATATTATTATTTATTTGTAATTATTGTCAGTATTATATAGAGATTTACCAGAGTTTCTAGGTTCACTTCCACACTTTTACCTGCCACGGTAACGGGTAAAATATCCCCTTTAAACATTTTTGGCACTGTATTTTCACCAAAAGTATCCTGCAATGTCTCTAAAAGACACTCTTTAAAGTGTGTACGATCTGATTTTGATTGAGCTGTGGTACCCTTGATGTTTGTACCACCCATTTCTGTTTGCATTACACAAGCCAATACCGAGTCGGCAAACATATCATTGACTGGCGTAGCTTGCCATTCCATAATGATAATTTTTCCCTCGACTGTCAAATCAATGCAACTGAAAGCACGTATGTGTTTATCTTCTTCAAGAACTTCTACAGTACCAGCACCACCAATACGATCCAATAGTAATTGTAAAGTATTTAATGAACTGTTCCATGGAATAGATTGTCGCTGTGTCACCACAGACATGCTCATATCAGTATATTCTAAAAAAAACCGTGTTAAAGTAGTTTCTCAAAAACGTTTACAATACTTACTAGACAAATCCGATGCTGCTAAAAGATGATAGTTGAACTCTCTTTTTACTAAAACACCAGATAATTTGTTACCAACTTCAGGTTTTGTTGCCGCCAATGTACCCATTACTTTTGCAGTTTTTTCTCCGCGAAAATACAATTCAACTGAATGAGTATTGCGTGGATTATAGAATTTTATATCTGTATTTGGATCAGCTTCGTATTCACGCTGCAAAGCCATTTTAAGACGTGACATTTCATTTTGCTCACCATGTACCAAAACCTTAATAATTAAAAACAATATACTAAATTAGAACTCCAATCGAATTTTACTATTTCCGTGTACGTACCACATGTTGGGGCTTCAAAAGTCTTATAAATTCACTAGTCTGTTGATAATCGGTATGTGCCGAGAACGAAATATAATCGACAGACATATTAAGAGGCAACTTTTGTCCAGAAAGTGTTGTGATCTCCTCCGGTTCAGATAGTATAGTCTTGGCCAAAGTTCCCTCAACGCAGTAACCAGCTATTATAACACCGTTCTTGGGATCTGTACACCAATTTTCAAATAATTCACGAGATAAGCCACTCTGCATCATACCAGGCGATGCCATAACAACACAAGGACCAATATCATCAAAATGATCAATACCCTTTAGATTGGAAATGTGACGAAACACAAATGGATTGTTGACAGCAATTTGTCGGCGAATCTTGTCGTTCATGGCATTTATATACGTTTGATAAACAGCCATGCATTTTTTAGCCAAAGAGGAAGCATAGTATATCGGAATGTCATGTAAATCGGGATTTTGTGACCAGTATTCATCCAGAATCAAAAGCAATTCCTGAGCTCGTCCCAAAGCAAATACTGGTATAAGACAACGACCACCTTGGGTAACAATCTTCTGTACCAACGATGTAAAACGATTTTCCCGATCCTCACGTTTTTCATGTATATGTGTGCCATATGTAGATTCGGTAATTAAAACATCCGGCTTCATGGTGGGTATTTCTGCAGCCATTAAATGGCGATCTTCCTGCCTTGAAAAATCTCCTGTATATAGAATTTTAATGCCAGCTATTTCAATCATAAACATGGCAGCACCTAATACATGACCGGCATTGTAGGCACAAAATCGCACCCCCATAACATCACGTTCCTCGTGGAAATTTATGGTTTCTATTTTTTCCATAGACGCTTCAAGATCTGCTTCGGTATACAACATTTGTTCTGTGGAAATATTACTGATTTTTATGTAATCAGATAACATCCATCTGTAGATGGCTTTGGTGGCGTGGGTCATAAAACAGCGGCCACGAAAACTTGTTTTCATTAAAAACCACGGCAATGCGCCACAATGATCTAAATGGAAACTAAAAAGTAAACGTTTATTTGTAAAATACTTAGATGCATTACTATCATATGATGCTTACTGTGAGATGAACAATAAATCCACTTCGTCGGCTTCAATTAAATCTACATAAGGTAAAGCATCCATACCGGACAGACCAGGATGTATACCACAATCCAACTGTAAATATAATCAATATCTTTAAATTATATATTCAACGCCTTTAAAATAAGAATAAAGTACCATTATCTTCTTTCCCTTAAATTCCAGCATTATACATGACCGTCCCACTTCCTGACCGGCTCCACTTTTCATTTAAAGAAATACACATCCATTGAAACATTTTATAAACATGTGGAGTTTTATTTTTGTTTTTTACTTACAGTGGTTTAATAAGTAACAAATCGCTTTCTTCTGCTGGTACATTATCACTCCTTTGTGCCATAATAGTATTTTTTTATTATTAAATAGTATTTTAATTAAAATATTTCGTTCTTTTGTAAAAATAATATAATCCGGCAAAAATATTGTTTCAACAATTATAATTTTTTATTTTCAGTGTTGCAAAGTGTAAACAACCCTATACAGGGTGACTCATAAAAATGATAAGATAATTTTTTTTTACATCGTAGTCGGTTGAATTTTTCATTTTAAATTTTTGACGTAACCGAATAGAAAAAAATAATTTGTTTTAATCATGATGTAAGATCAGAATGATTTTACTTTCATCTGTAATCTATTAAACTAAATATGTATTAGGTAAAATGTGTTTGAGTTAGGGTTCTATAGAAGAAACAGAAAGTCTGTCGACTTTTCGATCATTCGACTATTTGCAAATTATAAAAGGTCGACTTTTCGATTTTCCGACTATTTTTCTTAAATTAACTATTACATTAAAAATATAATTATACCCTACACCACTATAGGGTGTTACCACCACCCAATATTTTTGGGCTCAGAATCACATTCTGATTCGATTTAGATATGTTCATCTGTCTATTCGTCCGCCTGTGTAACTATGTAAACTTCTTTGACCCATGGTCGGCCATGCCCGACCATGTGGTACGAGTTTTCTGACTTCTTGTAATTATATGTATGTTTATACCCTACACCACTTTAATGGGGAGGGTATATTGGATTTGTGCTGATGTTTGTAACATACAAAAATATTCGTCCTAGACCCACCTTAAAGTTAGAATCGTTTTCTGAGTCGATTAAGCTATGTCCGTCCGTCCGTCTGGCTGGCTGTCCATGTAAACCTTGTGCGCAAGCTACAGGTCGCAATTTTCAAGATAATTGGATGAAATTTTATTTGACCCAAGGACGAAGCCTATTGAAAATGGTTAAAATCGGTCCATTATTTCACCTAGCCCCCATAGAACAGAACCCCCCGAAAAGGGCTTCTGAGCTCATAATTATGTTAAATATACAGATATATCGATAATATACGGCACAACTAAGTTTTATAGAAGTCTTGATGACCCTGCCAAATTTCATAAAGATCGGGCCCCATTTGACCCTAGCTCCCATACAAAGTGCCCTTCAGAAAATTACTTGAATGTCCCAAATTAACTTATAAACACAAATATCGCGATGAAATTCAGCACAATAAAATATTATGTAAATATAAATATATTCACAAAATTTTATCGGGCTTGGTCCATATTTGCCCCTAGCCCCCATATAAAGCCTCTTTCAGAAAATTAGTTTTTCATCCATAAATTGCTTAAATGTATCGGAACAAGGGAATATTGAAGATAAATGCTTTATTATGAAAAATAAATCACATTTAATATTCATAACTGGTGTAGGGTATCATATGGTCGGCCTCGCCCGACTATACTTTCTTACTTGTTTTTTTTTTAAATATAATTACAAAATTGGTATTAATAAATATAAACTTTTTGAAGTAGAATTGAAAAAGAAGAAATTACTGAAATACAAATAAAGATTTCTGAAATATGTATCAATGATTAGAAATTTTTGAAGTTGATTTCGAACATTCTGAAATACTTATAATTAGAAGCATCTACAGGGTAAAAACTAAATAACTTTTGTTAAAAAAAACAATTAATATTATTTATTGTTAAAAAAACATAAGAATACATATAAAAAACTGAATTAAAAGGAATATATGAGAAGTACATTAAAATGTAATAGGTGTATTCTTCAATGTGTGTATTATTGTTGGGGTACCAAATGTTGTTTACAAAATTCCCACATAAACAAAGCACCAGTTACATGAACATTTAGGGAACGTATTTGACCAAATTGAGGTATTTCAACAGCGTAATCTAAAAGACCAAGCAGAGGTGCTGGTATACCATCCTTTTCATGACTGAAATTACAAAAAGTTATACAGTTATTTGCGAATAAATAAAAACGAGAAAAGATCTTACCCCAATAACAAAACACACTTCTGGGGAAATGTAAAATTACTAAAGTTTTGGCTGTTACAGGTTTGTTCAGCACCAATTACAGCATAACCTTCCAATTTCTTCTGCATTAAAAATTCCTTTAAATCTTTTGGCTTAACTTCTAGTATGTTTAGGCTTTTTTCGGCAGTCATGCTAAAAAAGTAATTTTACTTGTAAATTATTAATGTTTTACTTCAATGTGTATAAACACACCTTAAGTTTTTGAAATCATTTTTACTTGTATCCATTTTAGAATCCATAACAAGATTCTGTATACCAAGTACCTCACATGTTCTGGCAATACCACCCAAGTTGGGTAATTTATCTATAAGACTTGCAATAACAAACATCTGTAAAGAATAACGAAATATTTAATAATTATATTTTATTTGTGTCGAACATTTCTTACTTCAGCTGGTTTTTCTTCAATAGGATAAACGATTAAATTATGCGGTTCGGTGAGATCATTTACTGGATTCATTTTTCTTTGAATTTGATCATTTAATGAACTTTTTGGCAATATGTCCTCTGTTGTTGACGCTTTAAATTTTTTCATAAATGTTTCACGACAGACTTTTATTAAATCATTATTATAATTCTTTAAATGAATATTGAAAACTTCATCAAATGGTGCATTTGTTACATTCAGAATTATATCTATTATATAATCGATTTTAAAACTATTGATTTGGACTCTTATGTCATTTAAATGTTCTGTTAATTTTGTTCCAGTAGCAAAATTAATTGAATTAATTATTTGTGTACAGCCATTTATACTGAAAAAAAATATATATAAAAAAATTAACAATATCTTGAAAATGGATAATTTTGAACAGAAATGTATGATAAAACTATCGGATTAATAATTATAGATTTTTGTAAATTATAAAGCAGTTTCGACCTTTGGGATGTGGCATTACAAAATGCCTTTCTTACAAAATTAAAATACTTGATAATATAATTTTTACTAATACATACTTTTGAAAATAATCCTTTTTTAAAAGTTGATATAAATACATTTGGGCAAAAAGGCGAGTTTGGAAATTGGCACCCATTGTAAGTGCCAATAAATTAGACACCATAGTAAGTTTTGTATTATGATCTGTTCTCCTTGTTAGAACATAAGTATATACCACCGACATGATGGATACCTGTTGACATGAGGTTAAACTGTGTGCCTGAAATAAAATTATTTAATTATTAATAATGTCTGTTAAATGCTTATCAAATTTTAATGGCTGTTGATTATAATGAAACATTTCTAGTATATGTTTATCAGATGTTAATCTTTAGCTTACCTGTTGCAATTTACTCAAGATGACTTCTTCTCTAATTTCATATTTTCCAATAATATGTTCATAAAAGTAAACAACATTTAATTGGTTATTTTCGTTTAATAGAATGTTCCAAATTTGATCTAATATATCACCACCCACTATATTAATATTGTTACAGCCGTAGTAGACACAAATTGCAATTCTCAATTTGATACGATGTTCATTTGAATTTTCAAAATATCTCGGTTTTTTCTTTGTTAATTCCATATGATATTTTAATAAATCTAATATAAATTGCTTGTTACAAAATGATTTTATTTGATTCAAAACATATGAGCGTACGGGCGGTATTTCAGTGTCGAAGTGATTACGGCAAAACGCTTGTTCAATTCTACAAAAAGGAAATTGTTATTGCTCCGGAAATCGTCGTTGCTCCGAACAAAACAGTTATTATACCATAACTGCTCAAAACAGGAACAACGAAGATATATTATTTATAATAATTTTTAACTTACCTATTTTCTCCTTTGCTCGCTAACTCTTTAAACAATTCATTTGTACAGTTTTTGAGCAAATTAACTTTTGAGAAAGCACTTGGTATATATTCATATTTTTCAAAAATTGTAAGGGCATATTTATGAACTACATCATCATCGTAAACTCTTTGCAGATAATCAGCAACACAGTTTTGTCTAAAATAATATTAAATATTCACATTATTTTCATATGATTATTTATGTTCCGATATTATACTTACACAACTTTATAGTTGTATTTTAAAAGTTCATCAATATACCACAAATCAATAACTTTTTTACATTTATTTAGAAGTTTTTCGGCAAAAGTCCCCAATACATCCAATTTTATCCCCGAATTCAATATAAAACGTAATGTATCATCGTTTTCATTTGCAAAATCAGTCTTTTGATAAATGTAAAATGAAACGGCAGCTTGATTACACACTCTGAGTTCATGTTTATCATATGGCGGCGAATCGAGCATAGAATTTTGAAACTTGTTAATGACTTTTGGTAGATCACAATTGGTAAGAGAATTTAAATCCAAGTTATAGAAATTGTTAATATATTTTACATCAGATTCCGCCACTTCGAATTGAAAGAGAGCATATTTTAGCCAGCCGTGTTTTTCCACTGGTATACCATTCAGAAACAAAAACAAATGATCATTTTCACATAAACTGTTTGTGAAAATTTCATAGAAACGTTGTTTAAAAATGGTACATTTTGGATTTGCATCAATTAATAACGATTTCTTGTCATAAAACATTTCATATTCATCATAGTAATCACTAGAATTATAAAGTGTTTCTACGTACGTAACATATTCCTCCATAGATAAATGCATTATGAAGCCTCCAAATAATTTATAACACAAATTTATTGATTCTTGTCGTACAGTACAATTTTGTAATTTCCGAACACAAGCACATATATTCAAGATCACTTTGAGGTTTAGACAATTTGGCAATTGTACCTTACTAAGATTTTCAAGCCATATATACAGGGGCACAGATTTCCAGTTCTCAACTTCAGGCAATAAAGTAAGCAAATTTATTAAATCGCCTTTTAAAAATGAAGAAAAGAGGTCTCTCTTAAGAAAATAACCTTCATAGTTGTAAAGTAATGTTGAATTTGTAGCATTAAGGAAATATTTCAATATATCCGCGTTTAAATTCGAACATGAAAATGTCTTCAAAAAGAATTCAATGGACCAGCGCAATACCAAATTATTATTATGAGTTAATATTCTCATGTACAATATATCTAACCAAGATGATTTAAGATGTTTACTCTGTATTATTTCCTCGAGATTCTCTAGAGAAGGTAATATTAAATGCGATTGTTCCTCTTCAAGATTTTCTAGTATAGTTATATACATTAACCAAGACTGCTCTATTTTTTTATTATAATCACAAGATGTCCACATTGCGGTCACATTACTGATATATTCAATAAAATATTGTAAAACTTTCTTTAAGAGAAAATAGCCACATTTTCTGTATTTTCTTTGATCAGATTTAAGGAGCTGCTGAATGGTAGTGATCAATGTTGCTTCTTCATGAAAGTTGGAGTGAATTAAATGAAAGTCATCAATAAGCTGAATTATTATATCAATGTCAGTTTCATGTATGATGTCTTTTTTTGCATTTGTTTCCAATTTGCACTTAATATTTGTCCATAACTCTGTGAGAATTTTACAGCTATCTGGAAACATTTTCAAATAAAGTTGAATGCAAGCAACACAGCTGGAAATTAACGTACGGCTTTTAACTTTTTGCATAATTAGCGTTAAATGGTACAATAACTGAAAATAAACCAAAAAAGAAGGAAAAGGTAATGAAAATATTTTTTTGTTAAATCAATGACTGAAAGTACCATTACCCCTTTATTTAGCAAAAAACCGTTATTTTATAATAATTTTGAAATTATTACACCCTTTTCCTTCAGCACATTTTTCATTCTGCTTGTAATTTCTACAATATAATTTTCCATTTCTAAAAGTGTATATATATTCCGAGATAGTGGAATTGATTTAGCTATTCCCGTATGTATGTATGATGAAATCAGTTTTTAAAAGACCCTAGATGTCTGCGAGATCCGAATCTTCAATAAATTTATCAGCAATGAGATCGGACAATTTTATAAATATTGACACAAAAGTCCCAAAAAATGATATTCCCAGTTAATAAGCGTATCAATAAATGCGACTTACCCTTTCCGATATTGGAACATCTTTGTTTCCAAAAGTCCTTATTGAGTTCATTATTTGATAAACAATTTGCACAACTATATTCAAATCACTCTCATCTTCACCGTGATCTTCTATAAAATTAATCAAAATAGTACCAATATCGTTTCTTAAATGTTCCTCCCGATTGATCCACAACTTAAGGGAGCGGTGAATAAAAGCCAATACGACAAGAAGATTTTCTTTTTGATGAAATTCATTAAAATGTTCATTGAAATATTGAAGCATTTCATCAAGCTGAAGTTCCGTTGGGCAAATAATATTGGCGCCATCAATAAACGATTCCATAATACCCTTTTGTAATTTTACGAAATTTTGAAAGTTGTTATTATGATTGTTTAACTTTTCAGGCTCCATTTTATTAAATAATTAGAAACACTATAGCACTTTGTGACTATAGAAATAAAAAAGTAAACAAAAATAAATTTGTTTTCGTTAAAATCAACAGCACATTTATGAGTGTCAGAGCCCTGCGCCGACAAATATTAACGGCGGCGGCGACTACACTAAATATGTCGGCGGCGGCTTAAAATCGACTGTAAGCAGGCTAAGTTTTCAACTACGTTTAGTTTTTAATTTTTCTACGATTTTAAATAAAAACGGAATCAGAAAGTGGGATTTTGGAAGCAAATATATTGTTTATAACAACAAAACAGAGCAAGCTCAAAAGTTGTGTGAGAAATTATGCAGGGATGAATAAAAAATTCTTAAAAATTAAAAACAAATCCTTTCTCCAAGTTTTACTAGGATCTACCGATATTTAACCCTATCCTCCATATAAAACATATTGCAGAAAATCAGTTTCTAAAAAATTTTGCATTAAGAAAATGATCAATAACGTAAAAACAATGATTTTTTATTTGTTTATTTACTAGCTATACCCAGTGTGCTGTGCTACCCTAAATGCAATATAAATAAGAAACCCACTTAACGATTTTGATGTTACATATGGGAGATTCCACGCAAATTATTGCAATTTCGCCAATTATTCCGAACGTTAATTAAGATTTTAATTTAATCTATGAAAAATTTTAATAATCTAATAGCTTCCCAGATATACAAAATTTTGTATTAAATTCATATGGGAAGTGCCAAGCCCCCCATTGAAAGTCCGCCTGTTATTCTCTAAATATTCTTCAGTAAAATTTGAAGATTCTAGCTCTAATAGTTTCTCAGATATACGAATTTTTCTATTTAATTCAAGCCCCCCCAGATGAAAGTCCGCCCTTTTTTCTCCAAAATGTTCAGATGAATATTAAAGTTCTTCGTGCAAAATTTTAAGAATTTAGTTCTATTAGTTTCCCAGATAAACGAATTTTTGTATTTAATTCTTATGGGAGGTTCCGCTCCCCTCATTGGTAGTCCCCCAATTTATTACCCAAAATGTTTTTGATGTTAAAGTTCTTCCAGAACAACATCATTTAAAGGGATCACAAAGAGATTGAAAAATATTCCAAAAGTTTCACTTTGAAAACATTATTAGAGTGTATGAAAACTCGCAACTCTAAAGGCAGACTATTCCTATTTTAGCGGTAATTTATGACTAAAATAAGTAAGAAGTAAGAGTTATATTCGGTAAATCATATGTCGTAAAAAAGCAAATTTTGGAAGTGGTCATATACATATATATATGGACTTTGATCATTAGATTAATAAGAACGTCACCGTGATTTTCGGATTAGGGACTTAAATGTGGAATTGGATCAATTATGGACAAAGTTCTCTATAATTTAAAGAATTGTTTTTAATTCTACCATAATTCTATCATAATGATAATGGAATGATGTATTAGCTATAAACTGATTTTCTGTAAGAGGGTTATATTGGCGGACCGATCCTCAATTTTATTTTTCATAAATGTAGGTTTGGGTTCCTAAAAATGTTTTTTTCGTAGACATCGAAATTTGAAAGCCATTTATGTGCGTTTAAGTCATTTTCTGAAGAAGATTTCATATACATATTTACATTAGATATTTTCGTTCCAACAAAAATTGTTTTATTATGGTATTATTAAGTACATAGAAAACGTTAAAATCAATTATTGAAGGGGGCAGGGTCAATTATGGCCTATAGAGATTTCGATTGATATCGAGCCCTTTTTGCAAAATGGATGTAAGCGAGATAAATTAGGATACTGCGTGTTTAATTTTATGTTTATATATACAATATTTTAGAAAATTCAAAAAGTACCAGTTAAAGAACGAAAAATTACCAGAAATACTCCATTTTAAATTTTCATTCACTCAAGTCTCTGATTGCTTAGTTTTGTGTTTTTAGGTTCATTATAATAGAAAATTCAAATAGAACCAGTTGAAGAACGAAAAAGTTCCAAAAAGTCCCGTTTTATATGTTCTCACTTACTCCATGCCCTACAGGTTTAATTTTATGTCTATAGGTTCAATATTATAGAAAATTCAAAAAATACCTTTTGAAGAACGAAAAAGTACCAAAAAGTCCCCTTTTATATGTTATCACTTAATCCGGGCTGTACATTCCTAATTTCATGTTTCTAGGTTCAATATTATAAAAAATTCAAAAAGAACCAGTCGAAGAACGAAAAAGTACCAAAAAGTCCCCTTTTATATGTTATCACTTAATCCGGGCTGTACATCCTTAATTTCATGTTTCTAGGTTCAATATTATAAAAAATTCAAAAAGTACCAGTCGTAGAACGAAAAAGTACTAAAAAGTCCCTTTTTATAGATTATAATTTACTCCGGGCTCTACATATTTATTTTTATGTTTCTAGGTTTAATTTTATGGAAAACTCAAAAAGTACCAGTCGAAGTACGATAAAGTTCCCATTTTATAGATTCTCATTTTCTCCAGGCTCTAAGTGCTTAATTTCATGTTTCGAGGTTCAAATTTTGTAGCAAGCTCAAAAAGTACCAGTCAATGAACGAAAAAGTACCAAAAAGTGCCATTTTATAGATTCACATTTACTCCAGGCTCTACGTGCATAATTTCATGTTTCTATGTTCAATTTAATAGAAAACTCAAAAAGCACCTTTTGAAGAACGAAAAAGTACCAAAAAGTCCACTTTTATAGATTCTCAAGTTCTTAATTACATGTTTCTAAGTTCTAAGTCAAAAAAGTACCAGTTGCAACATCGTATTGGGAGCCCGTTATTATGTATTCATATGTATAAGTTAATAAACCAAAAACAATTTTTTATAAAAAAGTACCAAAAATAGGTACAATTTTCACCACTTAAACGTCCGAATATCCAAAAAGTACTAAATTCATATTTTTATTTGTTCGTCAAGTTATGAAGGATTCAAAAATATTTTTTGAATGTTCTCTGGTTTTAAAGATACATGGGGTGCAAAAGAAGTACCAAATTACAGTTTCTACCCGTTTATTCCCCAAAGGGGCCGAATTTGAAAAAATTACCGGACACCTGTCCGCTTTTTTTTTAAATGAACGACGATAAGCTTCAACTGTTTTTGTAACTTTTCTAATTTAGGATATTTGAGGTTACCGAATCTACGTTTTTACCCTTTTTAACCCCCAAAAAATTTTCCAAACATCCCGTCTTATTGGATACATTTGGTGGGAGACCAACCTCCTGCCCAAATTTCAGCTCTTTAGCTTCAAGGCTCTACGATGATGAATCAGTCAGTCAGTCAGTAACGTTAGAATTTTATATACATATGTACGTATGTATGTATATAGATTTCGTGCATTGAATTATACTGTAAAAACATTGTAATGTTCGACTTGAATTCAAGTTTCGTTTTCACTGGAGAATGCTATTGAATTAAAGTGTAATGAAAGTGTATTTCAACACTTGAAATTTGAATGTTTGACTGGAATTAAACTTGTTTTAAACTTTAATTCCAGCAAGAATGCTTATTTGGCATAGTGTGACAACTATAAAGTCGACATAAAGCCCACAATGGTTAGTACCAATATTTTGCCCAAACAACATCTACATACCTAGCCAAGTTATATCCTCTAGGTCCGTGAAGACATTCTCTACAAAGCTATAAATTTGTATAAAAGGCGGCTTAACAATTGTTTCTTGTAAATATTCGGCCACCATAGTGTTTGGAGACAACAAGAGCTTCACTGAAAGGCACACCTGACAGACATCGCGCTCTATTATGGGTGTATGGTAGTGATTCTGCTGAGATCAATGGTATAATATGTATCCCAAGGAGACCCCCTGAATACGGCAATCAGCTTCCTTCCATTGCCTCTAGGTGATAATATACCATGTCACCACTAGCCGACCGACCACCACCCGCCTAGGTGACTAGGGAGGTATACAATTGCCACTCTCTTGTGGGCATTCTTCCAGGAGACCATCATGATGCCTCCTCTTTCTTGAAAAGAAAGACGTTCTTTATAGACAAATAAATAATTAACACCATTACTTACATTTTTTAATCTTCTAGATCTCACTAATATGCCAAATCTAGATTTCAATAAACACTTTTGGGTATTAAACGAAAACAAACCCCGCCTGGAAAAACATTTTCATCATAGTTATTAACAATTTAACTAAATTAAACCCAACGCTTGCTGTTTCTTTGCTCAATGACCCTCGGTATAGTAGTATATAATACAATCTTATTAATTTCAATTGTTAGTAAACAATTACTTTTTTTATTTAAAGAATATCATTACTGTCATTTTAGATTTTTGCACACACACCACAACAGATTTTTTTTGCAAATAAAAAATGCAGAAAACAGTTTGGCGCGAAAAATTCTAGCAGGATTTCTTTTCGCAGTCGGCAGAATTGACATCAACTGCACTTCCCATTTAAAATACACATGTTTGATACCCTAGCCCTTTACGGTATGACATACCAGCAATGTAAAAAGGTGTAGCTCCGTTGACGTCAACGAAGCTGGTTTGAAGTAAAAGCAGCGACTCGAATTAGGCGCGTAAAACACGAAAATATCTGAGGCGAAGCATATACATCGAACGTTGAGCAAAGTTCTACACCGGTCAAATTTCAATGAGCGGCTTATTATTAGATAAAAGAAAACTTGCTTTTGTAAAATTCCATAAATTTAGCGAAAGTTTTCTGTAAATTGTACAAAATATGGCGAAATTTTCAAGCCGTATTAAGCTGAAAAATTTTCGGCGGCAGCGGCTTTGACATTTTGTTCGGCGGCTAGGCTTAGTCGGCTTAAGCCGAATCGGCGCAAGTCTCTGGACAGTGTTACCATTATAGTATGTCATGTTTTTCAGTAATGTAAAATTTAGTACTTTTTTTATTTAAAATTACTAAGTATTTTAAAATTAGTTTTTCATATAAAAAATTGTTCTATAAAATTTTTCAATAATAATTAAGGAAATTAATGTTTTAATTAGTAATTGCATAAAATATACATATACATTTTTACAAAATTAAAAGAAAAACTAATTAAGAAGAGAACAAAAATCAACCCAAAACAAAACGTCGGCGAAAAATAATAAAAAGAAATAGAACACCAAAAGAGAATTAATAAAACAAGACGTCAAATTGTTTTTGCTATTTTTGTTTTCTGCTGAATAAAGTGCCCTACAAGAACAGTGACAGTCATTTGATAGGTCATTTGACTGGCACTACTGATGTATTATTTCTATCACAGCGTAAAGCAAAGTTTCTATCAGTTTCTTAAGGCAAATGGACAAAAGTGATGGAAACATTTGTGTACATGTGATTTTTCTTCTCCCTTGCACTTATGAATTCTATCGACTTTAAAACATATATTTGAGCTCCTCACTCTTTTGTTGTTTACTAACCAAGGATGACATAAATATTAGTCAGGATTGACTGATCATGCTTGATGGATATATCCATCACAGTTAACAAATTAAAAATGATGTATTTATCGGTCATTGTTGACTAATCATATGTGATGAATATATCCGTCAAATGTGACGGCTATACCAATTTATAATAAAACACAATTTATTATTATTATAAGATATATATTTGTTAATTTTATTAATATAATAAGCATGTACATAAATTAACAATCATTTCACCATTTTACATACCTCGCAGGATCTTAAATCCGCTGATGCTCCTTTTAATTTGTGGAAATAAGTTGTCTGTAAGAAATACATATAAATATCGAAATATAAAAATTAAAAGTAAGTAATCATGTTACCATAGATTGATTAAGCTCCGAAGTGTTTATCTTCAGCTCCACTTCCTGCACTATTTTTAAATTCTGTTTATAATAATTCTCTTTATTTTCAATAATTTATAGACTTTGTAAATTTTGAGATTTTTCGCTTCATGATCTTTGGCTTTTACAGAAATAATTAATTTATAACGTCGAAATATATAACTCTAAAACACAGTACAGTCAAATGTAGTTGTTTCACTCTTTCATATGCAAATGAAACCCTTTACCACACATTGGGAACATTAACAGTCATTTTACCGGTCATTTGACTGTCATTATTGATGGAATTATCCATTAACTATTTTTTTTTTTAGCAATTTTATAAAAAAATGTTGCAAGAGTGTTAGTGAAATCATTTTGTATGTGTTAGTTTCGGTCATACATTTCTTGTAGGGTGGTTAGTTTCCTATAAAAAATAAAGAAAAATGCAAAATAAATAAATTACGAAGTCCATAGACGTTTTTATTTATCTATTTTGTGCTTACACGAATTTAGAAAATCCAATTTAATCAATAGCAAAAACATTTTAATAAAAAATATATTTGTATGTGGAGAAAAGGGAAAACTAATCGCTTCAGTCTGTTTTGTCTAGGGAAAGACGAGAAGAACTTTTAAATGGAAGAAAATCGTGATTCCCCAACAACCTCTAGCCGAATAACAACGAAAGCTAAAATTGAGTCCAATATGGAATCAATGGAGGGATCTACAGATGTTGGGACAGACGATAAGTATACAGCAAGTGAAAAGACCACACCCGAAACCAGACATCGTTCCGTTGATGACATCAAGAGGTCTGTTAATGTCAAGGATATACAACGTTCAAACTCAAATGATTCTGGCAGTTCGGCCATACAGGTGTATCAAGATATTGAAACGTTTGTTGCTGCTCTACCCTCAACTTCACAGGTGACAACAACTTCTGATGGCGTTAGTGAAGACGATCAAACTCAGTCACAGAGTCAACAGTGCCAGCTTTTGCAGCAGCAAGACAGTGGAGACACTGAACGCAGTTGTTGGATATGTTTTGCTTCAGATGAAGATAATCGTCTAGCAGCCTGGGTACAACCTTGCAAATGTCGCGGCTCTACAAAGTGGGTACATCAGAGCTGTCTCTACCGTTGGGTAGATGAAAAACAAAAGGGAAATGCCCTGCGTACTGTTAGTTGTCAACAATGTCAAACGGAATATATAATAGTCTTTCCACACATGGGAAAAGTGGCCAATATTTTGGAAGCCTTTGATAATCTAATAAAACGTGTTAGTCCCTTCTTAGCGGCTGGTATTTTCGTGGGCTCCCTATACTGGACCGCTGTTACATATGGTGCTGTTACATTTTTGCAGGTAAATTAAACGCATTTCGTCTTAATGTTTTCCCAAAAAAAAAAAATGTAAAATCTAATTTATAGATTGTGGGCCATAAAAAAGGTTTGGCTCTAATGGAGAATGGTGATCCGCTTATTTTACTGATTGGTCTTCCAGCCATACCAGTTTTCTTGGTTCTTGGTCGCATGATTCGTTGGGAAGATGCTGTCATACGATTGATTCGTAATCGTCGTAATGTTGCTCGTAAATTGCCTCTAATGAGTTTCATTATACCATATCCGTAAGTGTAAATAACATTACATATTTAATTAGCCATATAAGGCCATTTTCTTTTATTAATTCTTCATTTACAGAACCAATCCCTTTTTTGTAAATGAAGAATTAATAAAGTGTCCTAGTGGAATAAATTTAATAAATATACAATTTTCTATTTAATATACAGCGAAGAAGATGAAGAACAAACTGCACAAAATCCTGCAACTCCTACACTTTCGGATCCCGTATCGGCTACAAGAGTTTTTTGCGGTGCTTTACTGCTGCCAACAATTTCATCAATTGTGGGACGTTTGTTATTTGAATCAATTGAGAATACCTTACATCGCACTTTATTAGGTGGTTTAACATTTATAACCGTTAAAGGAATTTTAAAAATCTACTTGAAACAACAACAATATACACGTAAAAAGAAACGTCATATAGTCGATTATACTGAAGAAAATGTACGAACTTATGTTAATCGTAATTCGTCATCAAGAAATCAAGGAGCTGCTGCCGCATATGCAGCCGCTGCAGCAGCAGCTGCTGCTGATGGCGCTCAACAACAGCAGCAACAACAACAACAGCAGCAACAGCAACAACAAGCTTATGTGCCAAGACCAAATACACGAGATAGTATGGTGTAAACAAACAATTTAAATATTTAACAAAATTACGTTAATTAAAGGAAAAATGGGTAAGAACTATACAACAAATTTACATTTAAAACCAACATGTTCCGTCGTATACTAGTAAATTGTTTTTTACATAAATAATAAAAAAAATGAAAGAATTAGAACTCCGTTAAAAATTAAACAAATGTTGTCAAAATTTGTTTACTTTAAATTTCAATTCTAAACACACAATTTTTTCTTAATAAAATCAAATCCATACTTTCATATAAACTACTAGCACTGCATCATACATTTTATACTGCACGAAGGAAAAAACTGTCAATTTGTTTTATATTATAAATTAGAAACTTTGAAATCATTCTACATGCTACGAACAATTAAATGTAGACTAACCTAGAGATTGATGCCTCGAAACTAAACTAATCTAAGTCGAAAACCAGTGTTTTTCTTTTATGTCTATCTATATTTACATACATATAGACATATGTTATGTACATTTTTGTTTGTAACTTTTACATAGGTTGCCGGATATTAAAATATTGTCATATACATATATTGGTAAAAGGCAGTAGAACTTTCAAACTTAATAACATGTACATTTGTAATCTATGTAAATGTTTCTTATAACTTGAAAGAATTGAGGCAGTATATCATTAGAAATATAGAATTTAAAAACACAATAGCAATAAAAGCATTCAAAATCGGCTTAGATTGGTATAGTATGGATTAAATTAAAATGTTGTAAAAATAACCTTAAAAGTCTTTTTTAAAGCCATGTGTCCATCACACTTTTTATCTTCATAATGCAAAGTGTCTTCAGGTGATAGTTAGGAAAAATAAGTATGAATCTACTTACTTACTAAATATTTTTTAAAAACCTAAATTAGACAATTCTAACACAAATGATGAGGTTTTAAAAGTGTTCAGAAAAAAGTAGTTTTGGCAATAATCTGAATATAGTCCAACATTTTTTTAAACAGTTAATATAACATAGCTCATTTATCCTTCTTTGCCTTAGCAAAATTGGTGGAATTAGCGTATTGATTAATCTAGTTATGTAATTCTGTTTATTATTTCTTATTTTATACATATATCGAGACACTATTTTCAAAAGGTGATAACTAAAAATATTATAAAATTAAGTTTTTTTTATTAGCAAAAAAAAATCTTCAATGCAACTTTTGTGTTCCAAAATAATATATAAATTTTACTTTATTTGCTTTTAGTTACTATTTAGTTTCGGAAATAATAGTTTGTTCGTTTCTATGGTACAAAATTTGTAACTGGATTTTCAACCAGTTTCTTCCAAATTTTAAAACTTTTTTGTTCTTTTTAAACGATTAAGTAATATAATACCCTCAGCACTATAGTAGTGTATGGTATAAGAACTATGTATTTATCAAAAACCATGAGTTTTACGCTTTAGGTGAGGATATCTTGACGAAGAAGCGATATTTTAAATACCAGATGGGATGGAGGTAAGATTCGGATTCAGGGCAGTTCAATTTTTTAGATAAATTGGTCTGAGGGTTTCGACTTTTTTCAAAATTTTCCCACCTGTGTTATTTATGTTTTTAATTAGTTGTTAACACCTTGTAATTTCTTGATCATGTTTAATGAATATCCATTGCCCTATTAAACTAGTAAATAGAATCAGGAACTCAATTGGTCTAAACCAAAGTCAAAACTATGATCAATTTAATAATAAAGAAATGCAGAATCAGTAGTATAGAAAATCAAATTTATAATGATACTGTACAAATTCTGTTATACAAGTGCGTGTTATTCGTGTTTTTTTACATTGAACTGGCAATTAATCAGAGGCCTATTACAGCATAGGTGATCGAATAAACTTTCTTAATGAAAACATATTTTCGAAAACGAAAAATTTTTGTCTCTATATGATATTAAAACGCGAAATATCACGATGAATTTTAAAAATATCATCTAAAACCTGTTGCAGCGACTGAAGATCATCGTATGAAGGTGATGGTGTGTTTAGATAAATATTTGATCATTCTGAAATGAAATCACTTTACATCAATTACATCTAAATTGTGAAGTAAAAATCATATGAGTGCGGAACAATAAATAATCCTTTTAGTTCCAAAGAGACTGATAATTTGGATGTTACAACATCATTAACGTATTTGTCAGATATACATACATATATGTATTCGTAGAAATTTGGAAAAATAATCGCCAAAAAAAGAAGTGTTCTTAATAATGAGAATGCAAACGCCCACAAGTCGGTTAATATAAGTGAATCATAAAATGTTGAACTGATCTGTCAAGTGCTTTAATGAAACGATATAACAAAAGTGAATACAAAAGGAATTTATATAACATTTTAATTAAAACTATTGATTTTCAATATATCTAATTAAAAATGCCAAAATCATAATCAAACATTAAGCTGCACACTTTAATTAATAAACATACATACATATTACTTAAACATTATTAACATTATAATGAAAAAAAAAAATAAAAACTAAAAATAAAAACATTATAATGTACACACATTTACCATTTTCTTCCATTTTTCCTTCATTGATTTTATTAAAAGCGAAAACGAAATAAATTCAATTTCAAACTTTTACTATATCTCAAAAACAAACAAAAAAAATATTCAATTAGTTTAGGTTTATAAATAAAAAATTAAGCCCCTTATTCATAAACAAATTTTTATTTTATAAATGGTTTATAAAACAAATTTTCCATACAAAATTTGATTTATAAACCCTTAATAAAATAAAATTTATTTATGAATAAGGGCATAAATATATAAAAATTATGTATAAATAGCTTTAAAACAAATTCTCAAAAGGAAATAAAAAAAAATATTTGTAAATTTTTATTACATTCGGAATTGCCATCTAATTCGTAATGTTCATTTAATTTTAAACATCTTTAGTTGTCATTACCACACACACACACACACACACCTTTATTAAAATAATAATTTGTATTTTTACCTAATGTTATTTGTTGAATTTCAATGTTTGCAGTGAATTTTTTAAGTTATTTATTTTTTAAAAATTTAAATAAAAATTACATACAAAAAATCAAATAAAAGTTTTTTACTTCTTACATTGAAAGTTATAAGAATTAATATCCAATATTTTCGCTTAAAAATAGAATAATGAGGGATAGAAAATTTAAAATATTTTCAAAAGAATAGTTTTTTTCCTCAAAATTTACTGTTATTTGTATATCCTCCAACACCATTAATGGGAATACAGAGTATATATAAGTTTGTCTAATTAATTGTCTACTTGTAAAATTTAAAATTTCCAAATTTTTAGTTAGTATTTCTCTATTATTGCATGTTATCTATATATATGTATATAAAAATTAAAGTGTGTTTGTATGTATGTATGTATGTTTGTTTGTTTGTTTGTGCTTTATAGACTGCTAAACGGCTGGACCGATTTTCCTGAAATTTTCACAGTTTCTTCCTGTATGTCTGGAAGGAACTATAGGCTACTTTTTATGTTGAAATTTCATGTGGGCGACGTGCCACGCCCATATTAAGAAAATATTTAATTAGTATATCTGAGATAATATAATAGTTAGAGTCTTCAAATTTTGTCGGAGCAACTTTAGTATCAATATAATTATTTAAGACAAACAGTGGGCGGATTAGCATTAGGGGGCGTGGCACCTCCCATATAAATTAAATACAAAAATTCATTTATCTTGGAAACTATTATAGTTAGAATATTAAAAATTTGCACGAGTAACTTTAACATCCATGTAAACATTTTGGGAAATAAATTGGCGGACTACCCATGAGGTTAGCAGTACCTCCCATATTAATAAAATACAAAAAAAAGTTTTTCTCGGAAACTAATAGAACTAAATTCTTCAAATTTTGTACTAAGAACTTAAATATTCATCTGAACATTTTGGAGAAAAAAGAGCGGACTTTCGTCATGGGGGGCTTAGAGCCCCATATAAATTAAATAGGAAAATTATTATATCTGAGAAACTATTAGAACTAGAATCTTCAAATTTTAATTGAAGAACTTTGACATTCATGTGAACATTCAGAGAATAACGGGCGGACTTTCAATGGGGGGCTTGGCACCTCACATATGAATTAAATACAAAATTTCGCTTATCTGGGAAACTAATAGAACAAGATTCTTCAAATATTGCAAGAAGAACTTTATTATACATATGAACATTTTGGAGAAAAAAAGGGCGGACTTTCATCTGGGGGCTGTGAGTTCCCATATGAATTAAATAGAAAAATTTGTATATCTGAGAAACTATTAGAGCTAGAATCTTCAAATTCTACATGAAGATCTTTGACATTAATGTGAACATTTAGAGAATAACGGGCGGACTTTCAATGGGGTCTTGGCACCCCCTATATGAATTAAATACAAAATTTCGTATATCTGGGAAAATACTAGATTTTTTTTTTACTTTGTCAACGATTACATTAAAATCTTAATTAACGTTCGGAAAAAATGCATCTCTGGAAAACATTACAGTTAGAATCTCCAAAATTATTAAGAAGATTTTTTATTTATATTGCTTTTAGGGTAGCAAAGCACACTGGGTATAGCTAGTAGGGTATAATTAAAAAAAAACAGTTCCAGTTTTTTCCATAGTGATTAATAAATAAATAACTATGAAAAAAATACCATGACTTATAACAGTTAATTTGAAAATAGAATTACAAAATCATTGTTACGAGTAGTAACTTCTTCTTTTTACCAAATACTTAGACACTCATCTCATGTATGTTCTAAGTTCTATTTCATGAATTTTGTTTTATCAACAAATCACGAAATATATTTAACTATATTGTGTTTTTATTTATTTTTTATCTCTATTTATTTACTCTTATCAGAAACTTCTCACATAAGAAAGAAATACATGTTGGTTAAAAGGAATATGGGGGGAGGAGGAGGAGTTGTTATTTTGTTTTTGTTAACCAAACTAAAAGCCCCAAAAAAACAGTCTCAACCAGCCGTTATTAGGTTTGTTAACAAAACAAAAATTATATTGAAAATAGAAACTAATAGAGTGTTTATTTTCGGTTTAA